AAATGTTTTTTTGCTAATAACTCCTTACAGGTTTGAGATACAGCCGTGCGGATAAGCTCATTGTGTTCAGCTCGTCAAGGCCCATCGAATGATATATATGGTGACCTTAAGGTCACGTGACCTAAGGTCAACTTTTGACCTTGACATTTCGAGGTCAACATACACATGTTTCGATGCGGATCGACGAGAGGATCACGATGGTGCTATTAATTTGTTCCTAGCTGGGATACTTTGAAAGTTATTCGAGAAAAACTTCATATATATGTAGTGCCGCCATTTAGACTTTCTTTTTACCCCTATGACGTCATCTTTGACCCGACCTGAAAATGACCTGAGTAAAAATTGTAGACCTTATCCATGTGTACTTTGTGCCGTTTACCACTTGTCGCTATCTTGCTTTGTTCTCGAGATCTCGCTGTCGCTCCCGCTCGTAATAATGGGAAGGTCATAAAAATGACCTGACCTGAGGTCAACGCAGGCCGAAAGCCACTTTTTTATTATCGCATATGAATGACAATTGATAAGGCTTTAATCGTCATCAGACAAAATTGCGACTTTCAGTTGGGATAATATCAAGGTCACTCTTCGAAAAAAAGGTCAAGACTCAAGATGTCACGTGATCAAAATTTTCAAAAATCGAAAATCCGAGATAGCCAAAACGTTTGTTGGTTGATTGCAAGTTGAACCATATAAAGTTTTCACCATAGAAAACCAATAGTTTCTGAGTTATAAGCCGCCAAACATAGGGTTGCAGTGTGACCTCCAGGAACTGCCCGAGGCTATATCTCGGAAACCGTTGTTCGAAGAAAAAAATCCTTGCCACAGCTGGGTTCCCCGCCCATCACAACCCATTAGACCAATTTTAAGCAAAAAATAAAATATGAGGGTGTAAATTTTATTTATTTTTGGTCGATCTATCGTCGAATGCCCCATCTGCTATAAAACAGGTGCGTGAAAAAATAAATATCCAGAATGTTCGCACCAAGGACGAATATTATAAGTAGGAACAACTGCATGCCATACCAGAAAGTGAGTTGAGTGTTGAAGGCTAGACGGTTCGAGAACTTACATCTTGGTCATACTCCAAGAAGACCTTGAAGTTGTGCTCATCCCTGAACACGTTGTGGTTCGCCAGCCGCGTCAAAAACGTCTCGTGCATGGCCACGGTCTTCTTGAAGGTAGCCAGGTACTCCCTGTTGGTTACATCATTACATGCTGAATTGGTGACAGGATCACATTAAAACATGGAGAAGTTCGAATCGTTAAATACATTCAAATTTTATTTCAAATTCAACTCCAGCCAGACCAGCAAATGTACGAATCAAATACAACAGATTGTGACTTATCTTGATTAACTAATAACTTTCTTGGCCTAAGTCATGGCTGTAGTGTGTATGAAAAATAACCCCCACCACCCTCACAGCCTCAGCCCTCTCGTTATCACACGCGCTTTTCTTCTGCATAAAGTCCACCCGACTCACTGTTCCAATTCCTGCTTCATCTTGTTGAACTCCTCCTTGGTCATGTTACCCTCGCCCTCGCCCAGTTTCTGCAGCTTCTCTCGGGAGGCGTCAAAGTCGGGACGGGGCGGCGCCGGGGGGATCTGGGCGCACGAGACGGGGCGAGTGTCAGCCGGCGAGCAGCGGCGGTGAGCAGAGTGTGTGTAAGAGGCGCGTGAGAGAACGAATACGAAGGAACGCCGTGACACGGCAAGGGGAATTAAAGCGGTTGCTCCAGCTATACCTCTGCGCTACAGTGTTAAAACATACAACTTAACATAAATAACGGTGACAAAGAGCAATTGGGTGAATGATTCAGCTCTCATGGAATTATGGAATATGGAATCAGCTGGGTATCACGCCAATCATTTGTAACCAGCAGCTATGCCGAGTCACGGGATCGTATATTACATATCTTTTAGACCTATGTATATGGGGCCGAGGACCGTTATACTCACGATGAAGCCCGAGTAGCGTTCGTTTTCCTCGAGGCTGTGGTGAAGCCATATGAACTCCTCATGTAGCCGCACTACAGAGAACTCCGGCTTGGCAAAACACGGCAGTGTCGTCTGAAAACGTATGACTCGTCACATCACAAGCGACTGTTTAATGTGGAGCTGTGGCACGCTGACCAGTACCTACCTAAGAAAATCCGTTGAAACAATGCATTTAATTAGTTACGCGATTTGAGGGCATTGCTCAGTGTCCCAAAATTTGTAGATGTGGGTGGGAAGCGACATCCAAATGGAAATCATTTCCACTCTCACCTCCAGTTTTCCAGCCCAATTTTCCACTCCCAATTCCACCGAGAAGGAGCAAATTGTAGATAGATTAATGTTTTTGATCATTTTCCCGCTCTTTTTGGGCCTTACCTGACCGACAATTTTTCACTCTCGTCCTTTTTTTGGTCAGCAATTTTCCCCTCTGACACCCAAGCAAAAATAAAATTTTGGGACACTGGCATTGCTGATGTCAAATTATATCCAAAATACATCCAGGCTCTGGTGGACCGGGAGAAAGAGAGGAGAAGCCAGAACTTAAGTCTTAAAAGTGAACGTTATGGCTTGCCCAGATAAGCAGTGATAAGAAGGGCCCACTGACCAAACGCTCAAACCGTAAGCCATTTCCATCGGAACCAAACCTTATCGCCGGCGATGAACTGACAATGACAATGAGCATTTGTCCTTTGAGAAATCCAACATTTTTCCTACAGCACAGCACCACACCACTGATGGGGACAACCGGCTGCGAAGCCCGATTTCTCATACCTATAAGTTACAATTCGAGAAACTCGTTCCCCGCAGAACAACAGCGGCCTCTAATCACCTCAGCGACCAGATTACAAGCCTTCCCTCACACGCACATACCACTCCAGTTCACAGTTCGACCTCCCATCGACAGTGCGGGGTGAAGTTCCAGCGCCTTCTGACTCTGACTCACCCTCGTGTGGACGGTGAACTTGACCTTGTCACGCTCGCTCAGGGCGTCAGAGATGTCGACCACCAGATCGGCGTCATTCAGGTCCACCGTCTCAGACCGAGTCTGCCACAGCAACGACACCAGTGTGTCAGTCAAAAGACGCAAATAAATAGCATGGAACGGGCAACAAGGGTGCTGATAGCAATTCATCTCAGAAATAAAGCCTATGTCAGTCTAGAAAATTACTGAGTTGTTTTAGACCTAAGCTTCAATGCAACTGTAACAATGATACAAGGTGTTGCCATCGCCCATCAGTATCATACCTCAATTCCATACAGAACTTTAATTACCCATACCATACATATTCCAACAGTTAAAAAATGTCATAAGAAGTTATAACTCTACCTTCAAAGGAACTTCCTTCATGCTGTCAGTCTCCTCATTCACAGTGTCTTCAAGCATTTTGGATGGATTAATTGCAACCACCAGAAGACCAAGAAGTGAAATCAGAAATAACTTTTAAAGTGCCTGGAACATATTCAGAGGTCAGACAATCAACAAAGTATTTTCAGTAGCTTGTGGTGTCATTAGTGGCTGAGACAACCATTTTGTAATGCAACTTGGTGGCAGGAAGTTAGGAGAATCATGTGGAAAATCACTTCAAGAACTTTGCTTCACTTACTCAAATTCCTATGTTATAAGCTGAAATAATTCCACCAAATCTACCATCTGGGTTGGGTCACATTTCCCATCTGTGATCCAATTAACTACAATGAAAACGCTAAGTTATGTCGGCCTATCCAACCACCATCTGAGCTTCACCTATCCCAATGCTCTTTCAACTAGCTTGAGCCAAGCTTGAGCTCAGTTGAAAGAGCATTGAACTCCTGGTGGTGAGAGCTTGGGCTCGGGTTGATCCGATGCTTAGCGTGTGAAACTTGGGGATTGTGAGCAGTTAGTGCCTAGTGAGCACAGCAAAAGCCACTTGAAGTCAGCTGAATAGGAAAGGCTTCATCTGGCTTTGAAGGGCACAGTTGACATTTAACATTGAACTGCATAATTTGTTGGACTCTAAGCCTGCTTTTGTGGAGATTTTCTGGCTGTTTGAATAGCTGGCACAGATTTTGAGATTGAGCCAGTGCACCTCATTGACCTGCAACTTGCAAGCCATACTTTGCAGTATGGGGGACTCAGAGTCAGGACGGGTGGGTTCACACGGTTGGGTTATTACATCATAGACACTGGTTAGTGATTTATGTTTTGAATGTAGAGTATGGTGACTGGTGAGTGAAGTTTTGGTTAGCCCAGGGCCCTGTTCGCTCGCCGTTTTTATATCAGCGTGCTGTCGGTTTTCCCCATATAAGGAAGCTATTGCTGGCGCGGCTTGGCCTCTCACTGGTCTAACGAATAGACCACTTGAATTCGACCAATGAGGAGCCAAGAAGCAGCAGCATGGTCGCAGCCTGCTGATAAATAAACGGGGTGCGAACAGAGCTGGTTAGGTCTTGTCATCTTGGGCCAAAATTTCTTAAATGATCCATTTGAGCCACACTTTATTCATGCATCGGTGCGCCAGCCAAACTTCTACGCACAGAGTTTGGGCACGGAGTTACACCAGACACTTCGGTGCAATCTGCCTGATAATATCACTGACAATGCTTATTTTCAGTCCAGGAAATGCTGGTAAAGCATCAAATCAACCAACACCGACAGCATCACACACACAAACGACACAAAACACACCAAGGCCCTAAAACACATAACACACAAACACATTACGCACAGACACAGGGCCAGTGCAAGGTTCGCATATTGAGATATCAGGATATTACACAAACAGGCTCTGGTTAAAAAAGAATTGACGACTTTTTACCTATTTTGGAATTTATTAGCAACATTCATTTTTAAATATCATATAAATTAATTGTTTATATTATTTTTGTTATTTTTCACATTAAAATAAAGCAAATTTGTAACAAAACTACAAAATTATTAATTATACGTCATTTTATTGGATAAAAAAGATACTTCTTTGCAAAGCATTTGTAGCAGCTGCGTCATATATGTCATGAAAAGCTAAGCATGGTAGGACAAACATTTGGAACATACACAAACATCTCCTCGATTTCGTGCAGAGTTGTTATGTACCGTGCTGTGGAGAAGCAGTGTTGGTATTTGTATTGGGGCGAACATAGAGGATCAGGAGCATTGGGACAATATCTGTGTACCTGCACTCTGCAGGAATCTCATCTTAGAACAAACTTCGATAAATTTAGCGTGGCGTGGGTTCGGCATCCGGAAAATCAATTTTCCGGGATCATTCGGTGTTTTAGGCTGACACCGTGGACATGCCAACGAGTAAAAGAGTTATTACTGAAGCAAAAACAATCTAAAAATATGACTAGTCTGTTCCATATCAAGCTTGCAGTAGGAGTTTCTTTGGCAGATCGCTCCGCTCCAGAACTTGCGTCTTAAAATGTAAGAGCTGTATATACAGAAATCACGCACTGCTTTCAGCAGGGCACTTCGGCTGCAAGCTTGAAACGGACAGAGTATAATTGCATCGATAGTCCCTGCAATACCAAATTATCACCATTGATCCCAGATAATTATCCCTCATGTTCCGTATGTCGAACGTACGCTTGAGCGAAACAAACCACTAAAAAAAATCAAACTTGAACTTGAACTGGGATCTGGCAGGAGTTTGAGGAGCATGAGTTTAGTCTTGGAAGTCAGATTATAGTGGTGGAGTGGTTTTACGTTTAGCATTGGGTGTGCAGTGTGCACTGTGCAGAATGCAGATGGTGGCGGATAAGATTTAATTCCAATATTATATATGGCCCTATTATATATGATATAGGGCCTTGCATTCTAACGCCAGGCTGGAAAACATCCATACACTACAGCGGATGCCTGTGAGACCGTCATGCATCAAAATGTGGCGCAAGAGATTTCGTGCTGAAATAGGGGCATGATTTGTACCAAAAGCTGGGTGCCTTATTCAGCCCAAATTTGGAGAGCATTCTGGTCTAGTCTAACTAGGGGTAAGCTCCTTGCCTCTAGATTCAGCCGTCCGGGCTCAATTCCTGGGCAATGCATGTGGCATTGCAGATGCCTGACCACTTGGAACAGCAAGAGGGTTCCGGTCAGCACCTTGGTCCACTGGATATGGTGCTTAGCCCAAACCAACTAATCGACCAGCACCCAAATCAAGTGACTTATGCAAAATGCATTCATGTTAGATCCCCCATGCTAGAGCATCTGAATTTGTTGATGTTTCCTTGGAAACACAGCTCTAGGGCTGCAGAGTTGATGGATTTTGGTGACTCAGTTTGACTCTGATTCCTGCTTTCAAAAACCAACTCCAAATCCAGGTAGAACTATTGACTCCAACTACTCCATCCCTGACTCTGGGGACCTGGCAGGGCTGCAGAGTTGATGGATTTTTGGTGACATTGACTCTGACTCTGGCTCTGGTTTCCAAAATTGACTCTGACTAGACTCCAGTCACAACTGTCAAATCCGACCGAGTCCAACTCTGCAGCCCTATCCAATACCACAATATGCATAACACACTGTAGCGTTATGCTGTGAAACAGGGCTTGGGCCGGAAATTCCAGGGCCACAAAAATCGGCGGAGTTCGAGGCTGGCTGGCGCCGGCGTGGGCCATGTAGCAGAGCAGTACGTGCTCCAGCACATCAGCCTCTTCTCGGCATACGGTGCAGAGCGCCGCGGGGCACCACTTGTCCGGGCACTGCTGGCACGCCGCGGAGGGGTGACGGCCGATTCGGTGCAGGTGCTGGAGCGAGCGGCCCCAGTAGCCCGCCCTCATCTGGTGCACCGAAACGGCGTCCTCTCGGTCCTCTCCGGGGATGGGGAGCGGCAGAGTACTCCCGAAGATTGGTTTGAACGGTTTGAATAAAGACTCGGGCCAGCACTCGCGCCACTGACGCGAGGTCGCACGATGAACTGCCCCTTTTCCCAGTACCCCTATAACCAAATAGGGCACCTATGGGGGAGCCGATGCAAAGGCTATTCCCCCAAAGACTCATCTGCATCTGCATCTGCCCGGGTCAGCGAGCGGGCGCCCTAAGGCATGGTGTCCTGGGGCAGGGTACCCGCTTGTTTCGCCAGGTAGTCCGCGCGCTCGTTCCCCTCGATCCCACAGTGGTAAGAAGTAAGAACCCACTGTTGGATTACTTCACGGCGCTTGGCGATGTTCAGCAAGGTCTTCCATACCTCCGCACCGATGGGGTAGGTCGGGCGGCTCGCGAGCTGGAGCACGCGACGACTGGGGCTGGGGACGTCTCGTTCTGAGCCCTTTTCAGAGCCGCCCGCAGGTCGAATGTGCTGCTAAATTTACAAGCGTCCCGGAATATTTGGTGGCTGTCATTCGCCGAAAAAATAATGCGGCTGCCATGCACCGAAAAATTCAGCGGCTGCTATGCGCTAAATTCAGCGCATGTGAAGCTACGCCGGATGTCCGCCGAAATTTTCGGCGCAATCCCGCCACTACGCGGGACATATTCGACATAGCGTGTAGGTACCTATTTTTCCAGTCTGGATAAGTACCTAACGTACCTATCTAAGTGGATGACTCACAGGCACAGAGACATGTAATTAATGAAGTATGCATGCAGTAGCTCTTGTGTTTTTTACTGGGGTTCTCGACTGCTGCCGTCTAACAACTAACAGTACCTATTCTGTTTTTGTTTCAGAATGGTATAAATGCTGATGCTCTTGCGTGTGTGAAGTATCCAATGCATGGTTTCTTCATCCAGCAATGTCATCTGAAAATCAAGCTGCAGGTCAGCATTGGAGGCCTCTGCAGTCAACACAAAGTGGTGGCCCTTCATCTGCGCCCGGCAACTCCTTTGGATGGAATAACCAAATGAGAGGTGGCCGTGGACCTGGACCTGGCAGCTGGCAGCGTTTTGCAGGGCCTTCATATCAATTTCCGTTTCGTGGTCATGCTCGACGTGGTCCCGGCCCCGGGAGACCGCCAAAACGGAGACCGCCCCAGTTCTTCAGACCACCCCAAAGCATGTGGGCCCAGCAAATACCTTTTAGGCCGCCTTTCCCAGGGATTCAGTCACACATTGATTTTACTTCTGATTCCATGTGTGATGATTCAGGTTCATTTATGCCTGACAAGCCTCCCAACTGGCAACTGAGACCGCCACAGCCACCACAGAATCATCCACCTCATCAGTCACTGGATGCGCCGTTCTACCGGCGAGAAAAACAGGTGCCCACTACAAGCAACACCAACTCCAAGAAGAAGAAGAAGAAATTATCAACTCCACCAAAAAAAGCATCAAGTGCAATCTTAATCAGGGCCTCCGAACGTCAGAAAGCAAGACATCAGGCCGCTGTCAGGGTGCAAGCAGCACCAAAGGCGTCTCCAGGAAATTCCGCAAAGAAAAATGGGAAAACACCTGCCACCAAGAAGACAAAGAAGGCGCCTGTTAAGTCTGCAGAGCAAGTGGCAGAGGAGACCAGACTGAAGGCCATGAAGACTACTGCCAACAAGATCAAGACGCTGCTGAAGAAGCCCAAGCCGGCAGCGGCTGCAGCCGGCCCTTCCAGCGCCTGGCTGAACGCTCCCGAACAGGAGTCTGCCGCCGGCGCGTCCGGCCCACGATTGTCGCGAAACCTGCTCGGCGAGCTGGAGTTCTCATCGACTGACTGGCAGGCGATCGGATCGGGCGGCCTGGGCGCCAGGGGCGCGGCAGAAGAGGGTGAGGACAGAGAGACGGAAGACGATGATCAGGTGGAGATCATCGAACAGGAGGTGCGGGAGCCGGAGGTCATCTCCATCGCCGGCGAGGAAGAGAGCGATGAAGAAGAGGAGGATGATGGAAAGCAAGATGATGAAGTCGTTGACGAACTGGTTGACGCGGAACAGCCGCGAGAGGAATCTGGTTCAGCAGCGAGCTCAGACGATATTCCATCTGAAATTCAAACGAGGGATGGTCCTTGTGCTGACCAAGCAGAAGACGTGGACTCGTGTAAGGCCTCTGATGCTCTCTCCGCGCCTGGTGGCGATCCTTTGGTGATGCCTTTGGCGAGCGATGCGGGTGCGCTGTCCGCAGCGACGGCGGTGGACTGCGCTCCGAGGGCCTCATCCGACACCTGCGACGGCGCGGCTCAATCGTCAGCAGTCACCGTCAGTAATGAATTAGACGAGTTTGATGCGGCGGATGTCACCATGACGGGCCGGAGCGGCGGCCGGCGGCCGGCAGATCGGCTCAAACACACCAGCTCTGTACCGTCTCCGGCCGTTCCGGCTCTGGACGGAGGCGAGTCGGATAGCTCGGGGCCCGCCCCCTCGCCTCTGCGACTTCCTCGGTTAGAAGAGTCACCGACGCGTGCTCCCGAGGCGGATGTGCCCAGCGGCTCAGCGTCGGCCGCCCCTCGCACGGCTTCCCCACTGTCCAGGTCGTCGCCACGGCTGAGCATAAAGCGCAGACGATATCAGGGCTCTGTGAGGAGAGGCAGAGGTGGTGTCTTAGCGACACAGCGTGGAGGGGCATCGGCGCTGCTATCTGCTGCCGAGTGTGTAACGTCGGCAGAATTTCAGCCAGTGGTGAGGATCAAACGCGAGCCAGGGCTGGATGGTGACGCGATCTCCGGAGCGCGCGGTGCTCTCACGTCGTCCTCTGAGACCGCCACTCCGTCTCGCAACTCGCCAGCCGAGTCGAGGGCCGAGTCCCCCACTGTCGTGGGTGTTCTGTGGACGGAGCAGCCAGCCAGCGGAACGCGCACTCCGCCTCCACAGCCGGCCACCAGAGCACCCACCCCGCCTCCGCAGCCGCCTGTCCAGCCCTCGCCCGTTCGGCGGCCCAGAAAACCACGATCTAAACCGAAAGCTACCCCGCCCTCCAAGAAGACCACCCTTCCTGCCGCCCAACCGGCTCCCAAGGAGCCAGCGAGCAGGACCTCAGAGATGCCAGTCAGTCAGCCCATCGTGGTGGCTTCCGAACCTGATAAAGATGCCGTCGTTTTCATCTCTCCTAGCGCCGACATGTCGTCAGCAGCGACAGTATCATCACCGGCTCATGGCCGCAAACGGCGGGTTTCCGACACGCAGACCTCTCCGAACAGCCAGTGGCGTCTCCCGGTCCCCAGCAAGCGGGTGCGGTCCAACTCTGAATGCTCGGCGCTGGAGGAGCCAGTTTCCTCCCGTCCGCGGCCGGCGCCGACCTCGGGTGCGACCAGTACGCTGATCCGCCGACTAATGCGGATGGGGAAAGAGTCTCTGCGCACTGCGGTGGACGACCCGACCCTGTTACGCTCTCGTCACCTGATTTCCGAGCTGATGCGGACTCACCGCGGGCAGCAGGCGCGGCGGATGGAACAGGAACGGTTTGCTGTCGGTGGTAGCGGAGGCGGTGGATCGCCCGCCCGGAGAGATACGGAGGAAACTCTCCCGGCGGAGGTGCTGTCGGACATACAGAAAATCCTGGAGAAGGGCGCCCCCGGGGAGGACAGTGGGCCGTTACTCACGTCCAGTCCCGTGCCGACTGGCCTGCTGTCCGCCGAGCGGCTGGGTGTCGCCAAGCGAGCCACGGGACGGGAGCCAGTGTCGACCGCGACATCAACTCAGCCGAACCCTACCTTCACCGCTAGCTCAGTAGCTCCGCTGGGCGGCAGTGGACGGGGTCGGGTCGCTCAGTCCGTCGCGGCAGCGTTCGCACGTCGCGCCAGTGAGGCTCAGAAGGAGAAGGCGGCGACAGAAGGTCTGTCGAGACCTGATGAGTCACCTGTAAGGATACGCCCATCCACAGCGGCTGCGGCAGCGCCGGCGCGATCGAGCCCCGTGAGACAGTCGAGTCCTGATGTGGTGGCGGTCTGGGGAGGTTCTCGGACCAGAGCGGACTCTGATCCGGATATCGCGGAGGTGGTGACGGTATCCAGACCTTCCGCCACCAGCACGGCGACTACCAGCGGTGAGTCGAGCAGTTTCTTGCTTTCCCGTGTTCTGCTTTCGTTGTTTCGTGCATTGAGCCACTCATTTTTATGGGTAAACTTTGCTATAAAGTATGTGAAACAATATTTTAGTTGTTAAAGACGAGTTTTTTTTTTCGTTGTTGCCGAGTCACCCGCTTCACCATGAAGCATGGTGACGTTTTCACTGTTCAAAGATGACAACTCTGAAGCCCTTGCTTGGTATGGCGCATCTTTATGCATTTAACCTCCACATCTACATCTTCTGTGTATGCTTCACTATCAGTCCATCACACACTACCCGTCACACAGCTCACCAGGCCATCCCTCCCACCACCACCACCACCACCAACCCACCCCTCTCCGTCTTCAACAGAGGACCGCAGTCGGTTCGCGGCGCTCAACGGCAGCGCGCGGTTCTCGTGTCTGGACGGCAGCTCGAGTCGGCCCGGCTCAGCAGTCAGTGCCAGCGTCCAGGGCCGAGCCCGATCCCCTCCCAGAGTGGTGGTCTCAGCGGCAGCGGCGGGTGAGTGGCATGATACAATGACACGGCACTTTGACACGGATAGTGACGTATGCTATAGTTGGCTAGCGATGCGCAGGTTTATTGGTGTGAACATGCCAAGGCAATCTTGTTTTAGGCTGGATGGTGGATAAGTAAGGGGTATCTGGTTACACAAAAAAAAAGAATGTGTGTCTTACTGATCTAGGTATGGTTGATCCGTTGCGAACTGCCTGAAATTCTGTTGGGCTTGGGAGATTCGAAAATTTTAGTAGGATTGTATGTACCTCACTTTCCACTGCGTTTTTCTTTTTAAATTGTGTTGCTCGCAGGGACACATTTGGATGCACAACGTGCAATGCATTTCCTACTTGCGCTGTGTCTTCAGTCTCACCTCCGATTCTGCCTGCTCCCACCAGGCGCACAGCGCGGCAAGGCTCCGCTGCCGGCCGCCGAGCCATTCTCCGGTCCTCCGCCGTCTCTGGAGCCGCGCAGTATTCGTCCGAACGTCGGCGGCGGGCGGCCCGCCGGAGGAGGCCGAAAGCCTTGGGAGTGTCGCTCGTGCTTCTCGCAGAGCTGGACCAATACGTGTCGCATCTTCAACCGGCATACCACCGTCATTGAGAAGGTAGATAACTTTACTCATGACCAGCTTTTCTACGTTAATGGCAGTTACACATAAATCTAGTATGCTTCACACCAGTATTAACTAACCCACTCTAAGGCAATTCCAGGTGATCGTTGCGGACCCGGAGGCTGAGCCAGTGACCAATGTTGGCTGTCGTATTCCACGACTCTTGTGCCATCTGACGCCCATCGTAGCGTGTGATTTCGAACTGACGGTATGGTTTGATGTTAAGTCAGTCGTGGATCTGTTTCAACAGGCTATTGTTGCAGCAGGATTATTTCAGCCGACGTCTGCATTTTTTGGCCCTCACAGAGCATGCTACTTCTGTCGCATTTGTTGTCCTAGGATGACATGTGATGTCTCAGTTATAGTACATGCAGGTGTTTTCAGACCCAACTGTTTTGTTATTTTGGTGCCCCAAAACAACAGGCCCAAGCTCAGCTGGCTTTCACACCCCCACCTCAGTCGTACCTCACCTCTACCTCACTGCCATTTTCAGGACGTGTACCGCCTGGCCGACGAGCTGTCGTCCCGTGAGCCGGCCTGGGATAACATGCTGCACCTGTCGCTGGTGGAGAACCAGCTGCTGGGGCAGGTGGAGGAGATGGAGGAGCAGATCCTCGCTCTGCAGACCGAGGTTAGTCGCTAGTCTTTCAGGACCTACGGCAAAAATAGTGGTCAGTAGGAACAGGCCATCGCCCGTGCTGGCGGAGGTCAGTCACTCTATGGCATGTCCGGACGTCTTTTTAGAACAGTCATCAGAAGGAACAGATGATCATTGTCCTGCAGACCGAGATCAGTCGCTCTGTGACCTGTCAGGACCTACTGCAAAGATAGTGGTCAGTAGGAGCAGATCATCGTCCTGCAGACGGAGGCTAGTCGCTCTCTGGTCTGTCAGTGTTAAGGATAGGGTTCGGTAGGGACAGATCATCGCCCTCCAGTCCGAGGTTAGTCGCTCTGTCGGGACCTCTGTACAGGATAGTCATGTCAGGTCAGTAGGGATAGATCGTGTCGCTCTATGGCCTGTCCGGACCTCTGTTTAGGTTAGTGGTCAGTAGGAGCAGATCATCGCCCTGCAGACCGAGGTCAGTCGCTTTATGGTATGTCCGGACCGCCGGCTGAAACAGAGTTGGGTGGGTGCGGCGCCATCCAAATTGTAATAGCCATGGATGGGGTGATGGCCGAATAGTTCTGAATGGGAATCTGGTCAGAACGCCTGACTGATGGAGGCATTGTCTATAACCGTCGGTAGGTGAATGGAGAATTGAGAAAAGTTATTTTCCCGAACTCTATAAAAAAAGTCCGTTGAGTCGAGTTTTTGCCCAATTTATCCGTTCGATGGGGCTACGTATCTCGATTGGCGAGTTTTGGGGGCTCCTGATGTAATTGTGCAGTGAATGCAAGCATCTAAAACACCGCAAGCATCTAAATGCTGACATATTTTTAATACGAGACGTTCACGAAGCAACATCACCCCCGATGCGTAGTGCAGACTGCTCATAACCGCATTCTCCGCACTCTAGACCCACCCCCTAATCCCTATTCCAGCTGATGTTATCCGCTAGGCCCTGTCTGACACATGTTACCGGGGCCCGTCTGCCTGCCTTTGTCGGAACAGGTGTGGAATATCGATCGCAATGTTCTGTCATCGACATTATATAAATGACTGTTCACTGGATTCTGAGAAAGATGACGGAGAAAGATTACCGTACTTTGCGTGTTCGGCTACCTTTACCCCTCTGTTGCAAAGGATATTCCTAGTTTTGGGTTACCTAAAATAAATGCAATCCTGCACAATGCACACCATTATGCAATGTTGAGCTCAATCGTGCCTTTATGTAATGTTATTCATCTGTAGCAGGTGTAATCGAATCCACTTAATCTTCGCTTGATGTAATATCATATTCATATTTCAATTATTAAAAGCTTTCACTTACGTAACTTGAAAGTGGATCAGTATGTAATAACGAATATAACGAATATTGTTTATATAAATGGCCATTTCTATCTAGCTATTTCGCTCACTGGTAATATTGCAATTATAACTGATTGCCCTGAATGATACCAGTCTTCACTGAGATGGGTTTTCACACTACCCCTCTCTGCCCCACAGATGCGACGTCTGCGCCAGATTGCCCGCCACATGCGCGACGTTCGCCTCAAATGTATGAGCTCCGGCCGTGACGTACAGCCGGGCCAGTTCGGCCTGCCTCCTGAGGTACAGCAACTGCTGCGGCGACTGGCCGAGCATGCCCCAGGCGCTGCCGAAGGACCGGCGGACGGCGGTCAGGGTGATGGGCCCGGCAGAGGGACGGGGGAGGGGGAAGGAGAGAGTAGAGAGGAGTTGGAGCGCAGACCAGAATCGGGCGACGCGGCGAGGACGACAGATGGTGGTCCTTGTGATCGTGTTGGAGGGGAGGATAGTTGTAATTCGGCTGGGAACGTCGCCTCTGCTGCAGCCGCCGCAGCTCCTACCGCGTCCTCCGCCACAGAAGTGCCACCGCTCCCCGGCGGTGTGCGCGTGAAACAGGAGCCGTCGGAGCCGGCTCCGTCGGATCCCTCCCCGGCGACTGCTCCCACCGAGACGGAGCCACCCTCCTCACCCCCTCGATCGTCCCCGCCGCCGTCTGTTCCACCGACTGCCGCCGTGAAACCGGACCCGGCGGCAGCCGGAGACGATGGTATGGAGGTAGATGAGGACGAGGTCAGTCTGGCACGCGCCATCGTTCGAGTGAGGAACGAATCCGAGCTGAACGAAATGGCTGCTGCGCTTCTCTCGGCTCCTCTTGATCAGGATGAGCCGGAGGATCCTCCGGTGAGTGAGAGACAGACTAGTCAGGAGAGTTACAACTGTCCACCACCGGCTAGCGCTGAAACTGGCGGGCCGGCGGCTATGTCCTACCTGGGACAAATTGACAGCAGCAGTGAGCTATACAAGTCGCTACTGGAGCTGGCGAAACATAACGGTAACACGGTGATGCTGCGAGTGACTCCAGAGGGGACAGCCGTGCCGGCGGGAGAGGGAGAGCGGAGGGAGGAGGAGGGAGAGAGGGATGGAGAAGAGCCGAGGATGAGCGTAGCAGAGATGGCGGCTGTGAAGATGGAGGTGGGAGAGTATGGGGTTGAGACGGCGGAGAGAGGAGAGACGACAGAAGAAAGAGAAACGAACGAGAGAGGAGAGACGTCTGGTGGTAGAGGGACGGAGAAGGATGGAGAGACGACGAAGAGGAGGAAGGGGAGGGAGAATACGACAGAGCGAAAAAATACGAGCAAGAGGAAAGATACTTCGAAGGGAAGAAAGACAACGAACGGCAGAGAGACGACAGATAGAAGAAAAACGGCAGATAATACGGGCATGATTGAAACAACTGACGAAGCTGTAAGAATTGGTGAAGTACAATCTGTTAGTGAGACTAGAGAGACAGAAAGGACTGAGAAAGCTAAAGGAGACCCATGGAAGGACTCTGATACGGTAGTAACATTCAGGGAGAATCAAGGACAAAATGAAGCAGGAAGTAAAAGGAAAAACGAAGATGAAAGCAATCAGACAACGGACAAGTGTCATGACAAAGAGGAATCTCACAAAGATGACACAAGCAATCCCAGCAGTTATCACATCCATAAGAGTAAAAAGAAGAAGAAGAAGCACAAAAAGCACCGACACGCTGAGGGTGATTCCTCCAGCAGCGCCCCATCGGGTGGTTCCACTCCCCACGACCGACGCAGGGCCGTCTCGGTGGAGATCACGGCGGACGTGCGCCGTGCTCCGTCCTCTGGAGGGGATGACGGCAGGAGGGCGGTCTCTGAGTGCGGCGAGGGCGCTCCGCCGCCGCCGGGACACTGCGGCCAGAGGACGATCTCCCAGGAGGAGGGCGCAGAGCTGCCGCCTGAGGCGGACATTGTGGCCACGCGCACCCGGCTGGATGACCTCGGAGTGCCCATTGTCAGCGTTCAGGTGAGGATTACCGCCCAAGGGCTGCTGGCTGTCGTGGTTGGTTTGCAAATGAATGCATTCACTAAGCATCCATTTTTTTTTGTGGTTGTTGGAAGATGACTAAGGAAAATTATGACATTTTTCCGGTTGCTTTGTGTGAGGTAGATTCTTGCAAGTTTATTCTTATTTTTTACTTTGCCAACATTCTGGTATAATATATAAATTAATGAAGCTGTTACTTGCGACTTTAGAATGTATGCAGCTGTATGATTATCCAGATACTGACCGCAGACCTGTTCTCGTTACATTTCCCTCACCATTACCCCGCTGTCCCACTGTGCGCCTCTGTTGCAGCTGCACGCCTCTTACGTGTTCGTGCTGACTTCGGCGATGGTTCTGCACCGGTACACGCTGCCAGCCAGCTTTGTGCGCAGCCAGTGTTCGACGCAGGTGGTCTGTGACACAATCTCGCTCGTAAGTGCCTTCCCTCCCCCTCCCCCCTCCTTATAACTATTCCAATTCAGAACCGCGCACTCGCCTAATTTGCTGTGCTTGCACTGTAGGCTTTCGCAACAACAAAAATATAGCTGTCGTTTTGCTTCCGCTTTGTGCATGACTTTAATTAAGCTTATTTTTTAATTAGGTGCGATATGTGTCACGTAGCTAGAAGGCCTTAGGCACTCATGTATGGTTCCTTTTTTTTCTTTTTTCTTTTTGCTGGTCTGACGCAATGTAGGTATATGTATGTTATGTAATTGATGCTATTTGGATCCCAGCATTACGCTGCTTTGTAAATTATAAGAATATTATGTTTTACTACCTTCTTAGTAATGCATTGAGCTGAACATATATTTGCTCCAATTTGTGGGCTAGAATAGACGGCGCAGCTGGTGGCTAAGAGCAGAGCCTATTGTGGGCTGGCTGGGGCTGCGTTCGCACTAAAGACACCCACCTGTCCTCACGTTTTCCGCAGCTCGCGAGCCCCGAGCCGAGTTCCATCGATACTCCTGTAACTGCGGTGGGTATTACTGGCCTGTCCTCCGTATTCTATGTAAAGTCATCACATTTGTGTCAGCGCTATCGCATAACGTTTGTGGCATCGCATTGCAGATTTGCCATATGGTTCTGGATAGGCTATGGTATGAGAGCGCTGGCCTCAAAAAGACTGGGGCATGGGTTGGGAGAACATTATTGATGCTCTAGGCACAGGATATATAGGCGCTTATATAGTCTGTCGTAGACTATATTCCGTGAGTTGGCTTAGAGGGAGTTTCGTGTATCTCAGGTAGCTTATGCTTTGTCACCCGGATCTTATCCACAGGCTCAAATGACGTCTACGATTGGTGCTGATTTGCATGGATTAAACGAATATTCTTTTTATTTTCGGATATTGTATTTTGTGTAGCTCATTTATAGGTAACAATGACGTGAAATTAAATTCAAAGTGTCAAAGTCACGTTTTAGCAACATCTTCCAGAACATAGCCTAGTCTTTTCGTCCTACCTATCATACGCTAACACCTGCATTTCTTGCTTAAAGGTAGTGTGCCACCTTTGAAAGATTTCCCATTTTATTTTTCCTAGGATAAGAAGCTTCTGTTTTTACCTAATATCGCAAAAAAAATCAAAAATGGGCCTGGAATAGTGCCTTTTTCGCCTAAAAGTTTTTCGGTTTTTAGATATGTATAACAACTGTAGTGGGCTCACCTGCAAACAGGCGTCGGGCAACAATCGCGAATGCGGCGCACTTGTGACAATAAGCAAAGGTCATTATAGTGTTACGACCATACGACGTACGGGAATGAGTTATCAGCTGTCTAATCGTAGACAACACAATGTCGAGCCTTAAACTGTAAGCCCGTATTGGTATTGTTTCTTTTATTTGGCTGTCGAACATTATTTATGGTTTGAAATATGATTTTATGTAAAATAATTGATATGAAAAAGCCGTCTTATAAGTTATGACCCCATTTCACCACACGCAAGTGGCAGAAATGACAATGATCAGCTGACGCATTTTTCTTGGCCGAAGTCAGAGCGCGCGGCCCGACGCACCACGCGTATTTGGAAATTCCGACCTCGACGAGCATCAGAAGCCACCTAACAGGCGTGTTCGAAACCGCAGGAGATGATGATGAACGGGTTTATCGAAACTTGATTGGATGAGCATATCGGTAATAGCGATTTCAGTGTGTGCATTTATTGTTCATAGTGGTGTAAAATGTGGTTGGGGTACGACCGACAACCCGTCGGGGCGAATTTCGCACTGGGGTACTCAAAATTTGAAGAATTTAAGACGTTTCCATGAGTTTTGAAGGTATGGATAAGTTCTAAAAATCCGGTTCTCCTTATCTGGGCCATTAACTCCATACGGTCCAAGAAAGCTGGCACACTACCTTTAATTCCGTATTACACCACATATTATCCGTTTATTCAGTCGCTCACCACCACCTCATTAACCCGCGAGTTGCTGGGGGGGGGGGGCGTTAAACGCCCCCACTTTTTTCGCCGGGCCATAGCACAAAAACGGCGCGCCTGCGGCGCGCAAAATTTTGGGTACTTGTAGGGAATTGATTGAAGTTTATTGTGACAAAGTTTCAAAAAAATCGGTCTGAAAATTTTTGAGTTATCGAGGTTTTAGTGACGTCATGATTTCTGAGTTTTCGACCAAAAACGGCATATGTTCAAAAAATCATATAAAATCACAAAATAGACATACAGACATGCCGTAAACGCCATTAGATTGCCAATACCATGAGCAATCAAATGGCTATCTTCGATTATTGATTATCGTTCCGCATTTTCCAAAATCTTGAACTGAATCTTGGCAATTTCTCGTGACTACTTCACGACCATGATCATGCATTTCTTAAATTGAACTTTTTGAGCCAAACACGTATACACATATGATAAAATGAATGTCACCATCATGTTCTACGCCCCAAATTACCCATAAAACATGTGTCACAGGCTGCGAATATCAGTTTTGATTTTCGGGGATATGTGCCTACCCGGTTGACCTGACCTTGACCCTGACCTATGCTTGACTGACCCCTACATGGAGCTGACACTCTTGTAGGCCTTATATGATGGATTGTGCACCGTTTTGACAGAGTTTATGACGAGAGGCGCCCATTGCGAAGTCCTGAAGTCCATGCTACTGAAAGCCCGATTTCAGGTGTTTAACCTGACCTTGACCCGACCTGTGACCTCAAAATTCAACTTTAAAGTACACATCTGAAGCGTCTCGTCGCGTTCTTTCGTTTGCCGCCTCGTGCGTTTCGCTGCGCCTATTGGTTCTCGAGTTATCAGCTGGGGGCGTTTAACGCCCCCCCCCCCCCCCCAGCAAACGGTGGGTGGCGAAATACCCCAGCAGGCAGCAACTGCCGGGTTAAACCGCCATAATAATTGTCTGCAAGTGTAACATCGGGACAGTTACATGTCCCCTAGTTGGACAGTTTCGTTATCAGCAGTTGGACAGTTTCGTGTCCCCTAGTTGGACAATTTCGTCACCCCGCCCCTGCAGTGACCCCCTCTCTTCTCCTTATGCCCCCAGTGGTCGGCTCCGTCGTCGCTACCTCGCCCTCGGCCCACCTGTATGGCGGTTAAGAAGATCAGCAAGCACGTCTCGGTTCTTATCGGAGACGATACGGGCTCTCTTACTATCCTAGCGCAGGTTAAGGTACGTGTTATGTGCGTTAAGTGTTAGCGGTGTTGGTTGCTCATTATGTAGGAGTTCAGGCACTGCTTGCTATCTTGGAACTGGAAAGTTTGTGTGTGTGATTTGGGGGATAGGGTGGATGTGAGATATTTATCATTTAATTCCGGATGATTGATGAAACTTCGCCACTGGGTTTTACGGTGAATGCCAAAGTGGCGGCTAGTCTGATGACCATCTCATGGGTGAAATTATTGACGATCGTTCGGCTATACTACCAATAACACTTACGGCGGAAAGTCCACTAGGCTAAGAGCTCCGTATTATAGCCCCCTCGATATGTGCGACCGTGCTGTAACTCCGTCGGGGACCCTCACTAGCCCCTCCCTCCTCTCTCCAGCTATCGCCGGGGACCCTCACTAGCCCCTCCCTCCTCTCTCCAGCCGGACCCGCCGCCGCCGCCGCCCGCTCTGCCCGGCTCGGAGAGCTCAGATGCCGCGGCGAATACGTCGACATTCGAGAGCCACTCGGTGCGCCGCGTGCACGTGGGGAGTACCATTAGCTGCCTGTCGCACAAGGCCAACCGGCTCTATATCGGTGGAGACGCCTTCTTCGCTGTGGTCAATGCTGAGGTGAGAGGACTGAGAGGATGAGAGATCAGTGAGTCAGCGAGGAAATCATAAGGGGAAAGGGTGTGGCTTTTACTGTTAGGTTTGCTGTGTTACCCTGATAACCGTGACAAACGATAATCACAATGATAATTTTGTTAGAGGAAATAAGTTTGCGTAAAAGGTGCTGGCAGGAGGTACTGACGGGTGCACAACTGTGCACAATGTCGGGGAGATGAAACGTCCTGTCAACTGTTGTTTTGAAGGGAGTGAATGTGACCTGGGATGACCAAAAGGAATGTTATATTGCCGTTTTTATATTGTTCTTTACTCCGCTTTGATTTTCGAAACGTGGAAGCACAGACAGATTGACATATCTGCCTGCTGTGCCTTTTGTCGGACTGAGACCCGTACAATTACTACACAACCATCTTTCCAGCATTAACGCCCCCCCCCCTCCCCCTGCAGCGTCTGTTGGCGCTGAAGACCCTACCCGAGGAGGAGGGCCGGCCGCTGCCGCTGCGGTTCTGGCCGCCCGGCGACGTGCTGCTCAGCTGGCACCCCGTCCAGGGGGACGTGGGCTGTGTGAGACCGTTCCACCTGGAGGGCTCGTGCCGCGTGGCGCTCACCATCCGCGGCAGGTGCCTCCAGGTCCGGGACGGGCTGGACGGTGAGTGTGGGGGGGGGGGGGGGTAACAGGTGGGGTGAGGAGACAGGGTAACGGGTGGGATGGGCGGGGGGAGGGGTAGCTGAATTAGAAGCTGTTCCCCGTCAGGAAGGAGGAAGGGACAGCTGTGGACAGAAGGGACAGAAGGGACACTGCTTTAGTTTAAAATGGGAAGGATGCTAGATGAGGTAGAGAAATGGAGAATTAATGGGGTCGTGCAAATGTCGGTGTTGAGCGAGAAGAGGTAACTGATTACGGAGCGAGCGAAGCGAGCGGAGTCTTTCCTTAGATTAACGGAAATTTCTGAGTATGAGCGACCGGCCGGCCGTGGTCACGATTCTGCGACGCTTATATCTCAGCAACCACTTGACCGATTTACACGCGGTAATTTTTGTAGGATAGCTTCATTCCTTCTACCAAGTATTGGACTATTGCCGATGCATGTGGGTGACCCCTTATGCACGTGCCATGTGCAAAACGAAGAGGTGTCACTTTTGTAATTGTTGCAATATCTCGGTAACTACTTGGCCGATTGCGCTGAAAGTTGGCATGTAGGTAGGCACCCACTAGGCAATGCATATCCATGTGCCAGAATTGGGGTGCTGCTGCACGTGCGCACGTGCAGGGGTCGATTCCAGATCTCGAGAACGGCTGGACCGATGGCGCTCAAATTTGGCACATGGTTAGGGACCGGTTAGTAGGGTGCCGTGCAAAACTCAGTTGGGACCCATTTTGCACGTGCGCACGTGCAGGGTGCCGCTTCCAGATCTCGAGAACGGCTGGGCCGATTGTGCTCAAATTTGGCACATCGCTAGAGACCGGTTAGTAGGGTGCCGTGCACAAGTCAGCTGGAGGTACCCTCTCGAAATTTCGCACGTGCAAGGCTCACCCTCTCGCTCGCTCCGTTAGTCGCCCCAAAAGGCGTTATACTGGTAGGGAGTTGGTGAGGGAAAGGGTTAGAGGGATAGTAAGTCAGTGTTCGCTGCTCGACGGTGATCGTGGCTTGGGATGATGGTCATGACCGGGAGATGGTGAAGAGGGATATGAAGGAAAATGGAAGTGGAGAGCGGAAATGGAAAAGGTTCTCCGGAACTTAGTTGCTTTAAATATGATGAGCGGTGAAGAGTGTGGATTGATAAGTGGCTATTGGGAACCGAAAATCACGTGTGCTTGGTAAGCAGACCTGGCAATTGCTATATGCATCTTACTTAAATATTGAGCCTTATTTATATATTTATTTATATATTTATTTATTTATTTATTTATTTATTTATGCTATGTCAGCGTCTTTCAGGGAGGCTCGACTATTGTTGTTAACTGAAAATGTATTTGCATGACCTAACAGGCTTTCATCTTTGTGTTTTTGTCCCCAGCGATGAATACTAGCACTCGCGTGTGACCTTCCACTTTGCCGAGACGAGCCTCGGTTGCTAAGGAAATGCTATTATCGCCTTCTTTGTGGCTCCATCGTGCGGAATGAGCTTATTGCGTTGGATCGTCGGGTCACGTCCCGCGTCTGCTGCGCGCGGGACGTGTGACTCCTGACCCTCCCTAATCCCTAGTCTCTACGCTCGTCCAACGCCCACTGTGCCCCCTATCGTCCCCCCCCCCCAACGCTCTCAGCTGCTCAGCTCATTTAACGCCCACAATCTGCCGGTCAGGCGAGCTCCTGTCGACGGTGGGGTCTCAGGTGGCCGACCAGGGCTGTCATCTGGCCGTGCGATGGGGCCACGCGCTGCACACCCTCCGGCCCGGGGCGCCGGCCGTCTCCACAAGACCCTCCTGCTGCCTCAGCGTTGTCGATCTCGAGGTGAGGAGGGGTGTGGCTGGTTTTGTGTGGTATGATAGGATGTGTGGGACTTATGGCTGAAACAGACTCTTTCCGCGTTCAGGAAATCGCAATGCGAGAGCCTATTCAAATACATTATAATTCCTCCCGTATCAATCGCATCCGGGAGGTGCGTACGATTGATGCGAGCGTGCTTCCATGTATTTGAATAGGCTCTCGCATGCGATTTCCTGACCGCGGAAAGAGTCTGTTTCAGGCATTAGGGATTTGAATTATCATTTTGCCTTGTTTTTGGCTTGTGGCGTGATTTTAACTGCCTACATCACACTCGTTTTCATTCGCATTAAAGCCATTCCTCTCCTGGCTGTATTATCGAGGTAGGATTTAGGTCGCGGCGGATAGCTTTGAGTCACAAATCCTATTATCTCATCCGCCAGGTCCGGACTGCCGTATTTATTTATCCCTACGAGTTCATTAAAGTCTGTGATTGTGTGCCGCGTCGGTTAGTAATCTCTCAGATCTGAATAGAACGCTTCAACAGCTATGATGGGAGCTTTGGGCTTTGCTAGTGGTCGATGCTATAAACTGACGTAAAGCCCCCTGCATTCTGCAAAACGGGTTCGCATAAAACAGTGGTTGAAGCGTTTCACTAAATGTCTCCTAGCATGTCCCAGGCCACCTAGGCATAGAAAATTGCGAATAAACCATTTCGGTAAGCCAACGTATCATATATTGAGACGTTCTCAGAAAGTAAAATGAGGAATGCTTCAGATTTTGGCTTCTGCCCAGTTCTCGCAGAAAACGTATTGACAATAATATGAACATTGAGCAATGATTGAACTCCTACAACTGGATCCGGCACCGCCTCGCCGAACTTCTCTTCAAAATATTTCCTAGCACACCAAACACGTTCGCAGCTCATACACAGATCCCAATCTGGTTTAATGCTGCTTTTTCCATGCCGTTGGCGCCGCGCCACCATCCGGTACGGGATTTACTGACTTCCTGGAAGGCCATTCACAGCTCCGTGCTATCGACGTGCCGCTATTTTGGCCGCTCATATCGCGCTCCGTCGGGGCCGCTTGTGTCGCGGCCTCCGTGACTTGTGTGGTCCTCTCGTCGCGGATCTATCCGCGAGGGATTGGACAATGACTGGAACCTCCCTGCCCCTCCCCGTCCCGCCCCGACCCGCACCGCTCCTCCCCCGCTCTGTCCCGCCCGCTCCGTGCCCGGCCGGCCTCACTCAGTGCTCTCAGTCATGGCTTCTGAGTTCTGACAGACAATAATGCAGACATTACCAAATTCTGCCGCCTCGTACTGCGATGAATGCACGAGTCAACGTAAACTGATAATCGTTATTCTTATGGCTGAGTCAGACAACTTCGAGCATTATTATAAAATTGTTGGTGTTATAAAGTTGTAAGGCTGTTATTACCGTGTGCAGTCCATGTTCTAGTAATATTATTTTTATGTCTATCATGTGTTTAATTCAAATTTTAACATTTTCTGCAGTGCTAATAAACTCTGCCTATCTATTCATCTATATTCTATTTGTCGAACTCCATCTATATATTAACCCATCTATCAATCGCGGCAGAAATGCGCGGCTGTCGGCGCCGGCTACTGTCTGAAGCAGGCCATCACTGCCCTGGACGCCGACGGTGACCACCTGTACGTGGGACATCAGGACGGCTCACTGCGAGTGATGATTTGTGCCGAAAAGGTGGGGACCGGGACGGGGGTGGGGATGAGGGATGGAGGATTGTGGGGGGGGGGCGGCTACTTTGGTGGACTTTTCGGTCATTTCGTGGGTGATGGTTGTGGGTTCCTGTGTGTATGTAATTTGGGCTTAATATTTCAGCTTATTTTACTTATTCACTTACACATTTAACTGTGTTATCAGCTTTCTCCTTATCTAGATCCGCCGAGTGGTTTCTGAATATTATGAATTAATAATTATTTCGATCTCCTCCTGTTAAAAAAAATATATCTCACCCACCCCGCCGTGCAGCACCCCGCCCCTCTCACCCCTGCCCGTGTACCCACAGACGGACGAGCCGCTGGGCGGCGAGTCGGGCCGGCTGCGATTGCGCTCGGTGCGGCAGCTGCGCGGCCAGGGCAGCTCTCCTCTGCAGACGGTGGCCGCGCGAGCCGACAAGGTGAGGGTCGGAGCCAGCGGTTCCCCAGAGCCGGGCTGACGGGCCTGTAACCTCCCCGCCGGCCGGCCGAGGCTGCGCCGTCCGCCGGGCCGCCCGCCCGCCGCAGGGACACACGGGTGGTACCGAGAAACACAGACGTCGGCGCGGGTACAGAGTCACAGACACAGTAGCATTGACACAGGCTGACAGGCGGGTTCGGAAGATAATGACACAGAGGCAGCCAGATGCTGCACAAAGGCTTATACATACAGGGTGGAAAGTAATTACGCGAACATACTTTTTCGTCTTATAGCAATGGAAAAAGCGGTGGTAACATGACAATTTCATCTTTTCATATATTCCTATTTATGTGCGATACACTGACAAAGGCGTTCAGGCATAATTGACATGAGCATGTCAAGCACTGTTGGCCAAAGCTTATTCCACGCCTCCTGGAGCTGTCTGGTGAGGCAATCGATGTTGGTGGCTACTAGCAGCTCTTAGACGCTCTCCTGAAGAGTCGCCTGGATATTTTTGATCAAATTGAGGTCTGGGCTATTCCCAGATTGACCATTATATGCCCGGAAGAAGAACAGGTTCTCAAGGCACCATTCTTGCGTCTTTTTGGCCGTGAGAGGAAGGACTTTATCAATCATGAAGAAGAGTTTCTTTGCGTCGGGCACAAAAGTGCGCTCAATCATTTTGCCCCTTTTGGTGCATTGATGGATTAGCTAAAGAGACTCGTCTGGAAGGATGTTCCACTAGTTGTATACTTTATTTTTGGTGGCCTTGTTGGTCACTACATGCAATTCTGACATCATCCGGGCGCTCATAACACGCTGATGTGTGTTCCTTTGCCGGATGTTTGAAGGTTGGGACGGGCGGGACGTCGGACGCATCAGCAGCCCCCAACGCGTTGTTCTGCAGGTTTGACGGATGAAATAGCTTCGAAGATGTCTCACCCAACCACAAAGCCAGCTGCCTGTCCTCCTCTGTTCAGGTTTGGCGGTCTTTAGAAAACTTAAATTGACAATCCTGCTGTTAATTCATTAATTTTGGCCATCTCGATTGTTTGTACGGCTTGATTTTCGAATTTTCACGGATTTATGTATGAATCGTGATATCTTAGATCGGGTACCCGGCCAAAGTAAACCATTTCGCCTGTTTTCGGGTCGACTGTTGTCGTTTGGTCGCGGAAATGGTGACCACCCATTCGGCGCCTCAATTCGCCGAGGTTTTACTGCCGCCAACGGCTTTGCTTTTTAAGTCCTCTTAAGTTTTATTATGCTTCAACCAAAGGTGTAATTGAGTAATGCTGGTGCCGAGACCGTTCCGAGTCCCTTCCGCACCAATCCAGCCAAAATAATCACAAACGCTTTCCCTGGCAACTTCAAATTGAGCTCTTTGCCCATTTTGGTCTTGAGCAGCGTATGGCGTCAGCACCACTCGAAGCCGAGAGGTGTTGTAGACCTTCCAAGTCATTTTTCAAAGTAAGGTCACTTTTGTTAGATGAGGCGACAACAAACACGACCAGTCATGTTCCATAACAGCCCGCGCTCATACAAAATCTCCACTGACGGGCGAAATTGTAAGAAAATACATGTTCGCGTAATTACTTTCCACCCTGTAGAATACACACAGTGGCAAACATGTGCATAAATATACAAAAGATTGACGAAATATGAGCGCCGGTGCATTAGTGCTCACCCTGAATGCCCACAATATTGTGTGTCATCAGGCTTCTAAATGCACCGGCCTATTCAAGCTATATATCATAATTCATTGTGGAAATGTGGAACGTCAAAATATGGCTTTAGAGTCGGTTCAGACTTGACATTTCCACTTTGCGAAATAACTACACTATGCTTCTTTTGAGCCATAACACCACCTGATGCTTCAATCTTTCCATTGAGCTGCCTACATCGCTTTCCTCACACACGTTATCCCGAACATCCAAACACTTCCGCGGATCTTCGCCCTTACAAGTTCAACCATCAGAGACCGGAATAGATCTGCAAGCGACAGACGAGCTAGATCCGAGCGAACGCACACAATTGTCGCCGAAAACAGCGTCAGGCGCCTGTCATTGCCACCCGCGACGACCTATCGAGTCGCAGCAGTCGTTGTCTGAAACCATTTCCGAGTATAAAGCATCAGTGAGCTGAGCTTCCACGCAGCGACAAGACATTGGCACGCACTCTGCGACGCTCTACGCTGTTTTACATCGCTGCGCTTATCTGCATTCCCTACCGAAATATTTAACTATAGGCCACCTCGAGACTCTACATTGTCTACCTCTGTTTGGCAGCGACCATATCTTACTGCCATAATTTGTCGCTTTACTGCCATAATTTGTTGCTTTACATGCCACTCAATCTCTCTCAACACCACCTAATGTTACTCGCCACTATAATACATCACACTACGTCATTCCACTTTTTTACGACACCACGTCGGCGGCGGGCGGGCTCGGCGGTCGGGCAGGCCGGGCCGGCCGGCGCACGAGGGGCTGGGCCATGGTACCGACTAGTGTCTGTTATCCGCATGCTGTGTGCTCGTCTGCCTTCCTCCTGTCCTTCCTTTGGTGTTGGTAAAGAAGCGTTGCCTCCACTTCGCTGCCACCTATCCTCTTCCAATGCCTGCCTGTGTTTCTTTTTCTCACATGCTTCCGCTTTTATTTATCGATCCCGTGTGGATATGTTGCCAGCTAGAAAGCGCACTTTTCCTGAGTGTCGGCGCTTATTTATTCATATACCATACCGCACGTAAGAGCGCTCACTGCCTTATGCATGATAGCTGACTGAAGTTATGTGTCATTTTTTATCCTGTTCTGCTCATTATATGACGGACGCTAACAGCCTGGGGCTACCTTTGGGTCAGTGTGGGATACGCATGGGTCATGTGAGATTCATAACACGGCGCTCATTAACGTGCTTTATATTACTTTACTTGTATTTATTACTTTAATTTCTTTTTATCAGCGTATTTGTTGGTGGTTACATGGACGGACTTTCCCCCTGCCATGCCCCAGAGTGCTCGCATTTTGTCTTGAATGACGCAATAGAGCCGATGGCACGGTAATGCGCGGTTCATGTGGTGCAAATACGCCGGCCAGTGCGGTTATGTGGCCATGGTATGTGTCCCCCGCGGCGTCCGGCCTATGGACCGGTCTCTCCTGGCGTCCCCCGGGCCCTGCTGGCCGTGACAGCTCTAAGGGACGCCTGGAGAGCTCGCCAATCCGGCCTGTCGCAGACAGTGGCGTCCGGGCCACCGCCGGCCGACCGACTGCGGTCGAGCGATGGCTGCGCGGACTCTCAGAGACCCACGTGGACTCTCAGAGAAACCGCCCCGCGGGTGTGGCGACGCGCCGAGTGCCCTCACCTCTGACGTTGTTCAGACGACGCAGAAGTGACGGCGCCGACGTTCTGTCCCCGTCCCGTCGCCGCGATGCGCTGAGAGTTGTGACGGCGATCAGCGCTGTGAGACCGCTCGTTTGTGGGAGTGGTGATCTGACTCCTGTGACGCCACAGTCGCGGCCGGACGCGACGGACACATTAGTGGCAGACTGCGGACCTCTCCAGCGCGAGGTCCCCTGGGTCGGATGCCAGTGGGCCAGACGGCAGCGGCTCTGTGCGGACGCTCTGGCGCATGACGCAAAGCTTTGTGCATGCTTGGAATGTTTGTTTGTTTGGGAATGTTTAGTGCATGCTGCTGTTTATTTTGTGTGCAGGATTACGGTTGTTATTTGTTAATGTACGTACAATTGTTTAGTATGTTCACTTGTTGCTCAAGTGATGCCCAGTAAAATATGTTTGGTGTTTACACTACTGGCTCGGTGATTAATTATCCATTAGACATGCTTTGATCAGGTCTCAGTTCCAGCCTTCCCGAACTAATCGTTATATTACACTAAGGTCGAGCAAATATTGGCTGAGCGGCCGAGTCAATGTCGTTGATGCGAGCCTTTGACCCTTGTGCTCCCCGTGTTAGCTGCCCTGCGCCAGTGATCGATATTAGTGTTTGCTGCAGATAGAGGCTCTTTCGCCATTACCAGATTTATCACGAGTTTTGACCTATAAATATATCAGACAGGGGAAGCTGGGCTAGCACCAATAACGTAGACTGTTTTGTGATTCAGAAAGAATATTCAGAATTTCAGAATTTTTGATTCAAATAATGTAGATAGGTATTTGATCAATTGAACATTGATTACAACAACTCAGTTTTACGCTCCATTGCAATGCATGAACAATGGTATTAAACAATTTGTAATTCTTAAATTGTTTGGTATTAAAGTAAAATTTGGTATTACACAATTTTGTATTTAAAATCTAACTGTCCAAAAAAGGAAAAGAAAAACTTGGTTTTAAGGCAAGAATAGAAAATGAAAATAAAAATAAAGATATAGATATGCACGCATCCGGGGCAGAGATAACAGCAGATCTACCGTACAGCCTGAGGCAGTCGGTGGCAGGCTGTTCAGTTCATTGCGTACTGCGTAGACCGCTCTATCCACTTCCATGAAAAAATTGAATGAGTCGGTTATCGTATATCTACCAGGCTGGACTAAAGTAAATCCCTTTCTAATGAATGAGGCTTCCGGCCCGCCGTCTTTGCCTCGGTCACGGCTTCAACTGCCCTCTGATGTGTTCCCAAATAAGTTCCAAATGACGTATTGCGGCATTCAATTAGAGTCCCATATTCGTTGAAAGTTAAGCATAGACATGAAGTGAGCTGTCAAATTCAGAGCTTTAAGGGGTACCAATAAAACTTAGCTGTAGACTTTCGTAACTTCAAATATACCGAGCGACGGCTGACTATTTCTCAACTGCGGGAGATTAATGAAATAGGGAATAGTTCTGGGCTAATTTAGTTTTGAAAGAGTTTGACGTTAATGATTGAATGGTGTGAAACGTTTTTTTGAGCATGATTATGATTATAATGGAAATCAGATGGAATAGTAACCTTTTGCTCATAACTAAAGTAAGCCAAAAACAAATCCAAAATATATTTTCGGTGCT